GACGATCTAAATAGTTGCTATGGATTCCAGTGTATTTGCTCTGCGTTGCAGAAATGTCATTCAGTGCATGCACAAAGTCTTTCATAGGCTGGGATGTGCAGACTTTAGGTTTATGAGAAGGCTTTGTTTTTCATTAGATCCTCAAGGTCCACTCCCCATGACGCCCTGGTGCAAACAAAGCAAAACACCTGAGACTGAAAATTCTGAGCAGTATAAATGCCAGAATTAAGTGTGAGCCTTGTTCTTCCACCACTGGCTACTTCGCAAAAATTGTCTTCTGGTCACACAAAACTTTGTTTCAACAATATAATGTAGGACTGGAAAAGGAGTTCTTGTTATGATCAATATCAAATAACTGGCACCCAGAAATGTAAGTGATCTATGGCTGGATAGCTCAGTAAGATAGGTATCTGGCTGTGGAGCCAGAGGTTGGGAGTTTGAAACCCCCACTGTACCTCCAGGGAGTAGAGGTGTGTGCTGCTATAACACATCTGTGCCTTTTACCTGGTTGTGTGTGCGTTGCACCTGTGTTGAGCCTCAATATTCCACTCAGGGGCAGTTAAAAGTCTGTAAGCTGTGGGAAGCAGATCCTCAAAACCTGAGATTATGAATGTAGAACACAAGAGGTGTGATGAACACACAGACTCCATCACCACTGCACGAAATTGTTGCTACACTAACAACTTAGTACAACTTCTCAGGAAGAGGGACTGCACAATCTGGCACAACTTCCTCATCTTGGAAAAAATTAGTAAACAAGCTGCAGAGTGTACAGAATAGACAGTAGTTGTGGAATCTGTATGATGTACCCTTGACAGACAGGAGGAGCAGAAAGGCTCCCCATGATTATGTTTGGGCTTGCATTTTATTTTTCACTTTGTGATCTGCTGCTTTTTGTTTTTGTTTCAGCTAAAAAATAATGAAACTCTGTTTCACATATGCTCTCTCTCTCTCTCTCTCTCTCTCTGTGCGCACACGCTGATGTGGGCATATCTCTTGCCTTCTGGACCACGTATGCTGTGGTCATCCTATGCAAGCTATTCCCCAGAATCACATGTCACACAAGACGGAGCACTCCAGCCCAATCTCGATCTTGCCCAGCTGGACTTTTTGGGCCAGCTGTAGGGCTTCTACGTTTTGGCTGGAAAGATTCCCTGGCAGATGAAAGGGTTGCTTGAAGGGAGAAAGCTCCCTGCAAAGCAAGCTTTTTGAATGTGATCCATGATGTAAAATTATTAGCTCAGTCAGATGTTTGCCTGTCTGTCTGCATCTCAATAAATAAATGCATTGTGTTCTGTGTCTGTAATTTATAAAAGCTCACACTGAAATATTCAGCTTAAAGATGTGCAATGCTTTTGTTGCTGTTGTTGTTGAAAACTGTACTGAATACTGAATGTTGTGTATAGATAAGCTTTTTTCATGATCATAGTTTACTTTGGACTATTTGCAGGATTTTCTAATATCAGGAGGTTTATTAGCATCAAGAAATGAATGAAGAAAGCATAAAACACAGAAAGCAGAGTTCAAATCTAGGGAACAATGATCCACCTGCTGTCAGCAAGAAGTTGAAATCTATGAATCTACAGAAAGAGGTAAGACTATTGTAATATATTATTTTTACTTATTAATTTTGAGCCTAAGCTCAAATGTTAGTCCCAAGAACCTTGTCAAATCAGTGGCAAGGGAATTCAGCAAGTGCTTCAACTGGTCTACTTGAACTGGGATTATCAATTAGGGCACATGCATGTGTGTGTGTGTGTGTGTGTGTGTGTGTGTGTGTGTGTGTGCGCGTGTGTGTGCACACACACACAGCTGTTTTAACTTATGGCTAAAATATTCTGTAACGTATAAGTTTTTTTCAGTTGCTAGGTCTACTTGAACTGGGATTATCAATTAGGACACATGCATGTTTTAATTTATGGCTAAAATATTCTGTAATGTATAAGTTTTTTTCAGTTGCTGCTGAGCACACTGTAATTCCTGATTTAGCAGTTTTGCGGATCTTACCCTTACACATTTTCTTAATCAGCTGGAAGGTTCAGGGGCAATATCTGTCTTGCGTTGATTCAATTTGGAACAAAATATTACAGACATAATGTGTTTCTGTAATATTTGGGTGTATTTGCAAATAAACACATTTGAATGCAAGCTGAGTAGCATTATTACAAGCAGCAGTCTTACGTTCTCCTAATCCAATCTCCAGGGAAAGAGAGACTCCTCTGGATGATTTTAGCTTTTCAGTGGCTGGAGGATGCTGGGTGATGTACTTCAGAAAAGTAACTTTTCTAAGCCAGCTGTCTTCTAGACTGTGCCTGTGCTAAAATGTTCTTCTTTATGAACTGGGACCTTAGTGAGTCTCTCCCCTCAGTTACTGGGGGTAGGGTAGGCGTTGAAGGAACGAGCATGAGTCATTGGTGCCAAAATGGCTGTTACCTTTTTGGAGATCTCTCCAGATAGGCATTGGCTGTAATTTCTGTAACAACCAACGTGCCTGGTGGCTCAGCTACTGGCCATTAAGGCCCCTCAGGCAGTCCTTCTGGACCCATTAATACTTCACCTCCAAATATTTCTGCAAAACAGATCATAATTGTACAGCAAATTGTTAATGTTTGTTCATCTTTATGCTTTCTGAGGAGAATACAGTAAGTGGCTGTTTCGTGCCTGTTCCATGAATGGATCAATATTATCCAAGCCCAAGAGCTGTTTGGGGTCCATGAATTCATTTCCATTTGGTTTTGTAAAGCTTTTGGTTGGCCAACGCTGGCCCAAAACATTTTGCTGCCTGAGGCAGGACAAGAAGGAAGGCTTCCTCCCCCACAATCCAGAGGCATACTAACAAAACCAGACTAGGTTCTTTTGGCGTGTGAGATGGCAGAAGAACCTCTATTTCTTCAGGAATAAGTTAAAGACCATTTACAAGGGACTGTTCTTTTGTAACAGAAATCAGTTGCCTGATGCAGCTGCCTCACGTTGCATGATAAAGCTGGTTGGTAACAACTATGGTGCCCTACGTCACTAGCAACACTTTATGCTGTAGTTTTATTCGGATGGCACCTTGATGGATGCCACTATGAATAACTCTGCATAGCACATGAAGGAGAACACATATAATAAGTTTGTCAAGGTCAGATGTATGAGACTTGAACAATGTCCTCAGAGCATTATAGAATTTTATTGGTATTTCTTCGGTAGCTTAGGTTTGTGAGGTTTGTCACAGCTGATATTTATCCCCCAAAGCATTAATTTTCAGCATAAGATCACATAATCTTATCAACCATATCAAAGTTCATCTGGGTATTTTCATTATTTAAATGTTTCCTCTCCCTTCAGAGGGTGAAAAAGAATAAATCATTGTAATACTCATGGTGAAATATGTCTTTCTCGAGACATTCACGTCTTAGTTATTCTACTTTCCCCAGGTACACAAAATGATTTTAAGCAACGTCAGAGTACCTATTTCTACAAACTTTATCTAATTCCTTATCTTTTCCAAATGCATGCAATATATGAATTCCAAATTTGAAAACATGTAACATAACATTCTTCAGAGTGTGTGTCTCTGAAAAAAATTGTGTTCTGTAAGGGGAAGATGTCTCAACCATAGGAAATAAGTATCGGGTCCTGTAGATAGCTCAGCAAAAAAAAGATGATGCTCATTCCTCATGTTATTAGCTCATGCAATTTTATTCAATGCTTTTGTGTTGTGTTTTTAAGTTCATAATGTTTCTAATTTATAATGTTTATTCTTTTATAGTCTTTTATATCATTTACATGTGTATTTTTATTTTTTAATTTATTATTGTTGATTATTGTTCTTTTTTTCCCTAAACCACCCAGAGTGGCCTTGGTAGGCAGATTTTTTGGGGGGGGGGGCTGGGTTATACAAATCAATCAAACAAATAGAATGTCTCTGCCTGCTTCAGCTGCAGCCATGAATTCAGACTCTGTGGAAGACAGAACTACAACATCTTGTTCGGTTTGTGACTAGCTCATGAAATAGGACCATCACTCTACCCGAACAGGAAACCACTAATGGCTTTATAATCTGTACTACCCTTGTCCCGATCTGCACCAGTGTGCCCTACAGGCGTTGGGTGTTTAGTAGCTTGTAGTCTTCACTTAAAGCCCATGGTCCCTTTCAAATATCTAGCTACCCTTTTTACAGCTGTCCAATCACTCTGTGTTGACAAACTAACGTAGTGTTCCTAAAGTGGTAGCTATGTCTGATCTGATAGTGGTTATGAGGTACAAAAGCTTGCCTATAACTGCTCTGTATTTACTGTGGTTTGGTAAAGGTTCACTTTCCTCCTTGTTTTTCAGAAAATCCATTTTGCATGGTTTGGTTGCATCCCTTAACTCTTTGATGTTCACCTCTTTTTAAAGATGGCGTATAGTCTCTTTGTCTTTCTGTTCCCTACAGCAGTGGTCCCCAGTGTTGGGCCTCCAGATGTTCTTTGACTACATCTCCCAGAAGCCTTCACCACCACCTCTGCTGGCCAGGATTTCTGGGAGTTGAAGTCCAAGAACATCTGGAGGCCCAAGGTTGGGGACCCCTGCCCTACAGGAGCAAGAAGTGCGCCATCTACATATGTAAGGATATAGGTCAAATGTCAATTCCTGCTTCTGATATACAAGCACTTATCCTCATCACCTTAGTTGAAGCCTTGTAGCATCAGGTTTAGTTTCTCATTCCAGGACTGAACAGCTTGCTTCAATTCATACAGGCCTTTAGTTTGCATAAAAAAACAGGATGTTTCTGATGGATGAAACCCAATGGCTGCTCTATATAAAAGCACTTCTGCAATCTCTCCATGTAGAAATGCAGTCTTTGCTATCTAGGTGCTTGACGTATCCTTCTGGAAGCGACCACACTCAGGAGCTTTGTTATTGTGCTGTGCTTGTCACAATGAGTGTCTGAAGGCTGGGTGCCTCTTTCAGTTCAACAGCCTTGACATCTCCATCTATGTCTCATCTTCTTAGTCTACTGCTGCCAGATTGTTTGTCATTGCCTTCTGTGGTGATCCCCCTGGTTGCCCCTTTATTTCCTTTGGGCTCCACAAAGGTAAACACGCCTTTTCCTTCTTTTCGCTGCCACCAGGCATTTCTCCTAATACCACTACAATTCTCACATCAGGGTTCTCAGGGGTTACTGGATCTTTGCTCACCATTTTAAAGCACTGTTCTAAAGTTGGATCTGTTTCTTGATCCTTTTAAAATGTATTTCCATTTGGATTCTTTATTGTTACCCCATCAGCTATTTCTTCATTCCCTCCTATTATCTCATTAGGGGACTCAAGTTTTTCCTCAGATATTTCCTTATTTTCTTTTTGGGAGTGAGTATTCACTAAAGCACTCTTAACATGTTCTTGGTTACTTTCAATCAGATAACCCTGGCAAATTTGAGCTATTGGGAGTTGTTCTCGTTGTTCTGGGCTCTCTGCTCTAGCACTAACTGTGGTTGCGCTGGCGCCCACTTCGACTGACCTTGTGGGTGCCTCCTTCTGCTCTACGCAATCTACCTCCTTAGGCAAATTCAAGTTTTTTTGTTGCCCAGATATCTCTATTCTTAATGCATTGGGATGTAAAGTGGCCTTGTTCTCCACTAGCAAAACATATAGAAGCTTTTCTTTCAAAACTTGGAGATTTATCTCCCTTTCCTTCGCAGTTTTTAAATTTATTCTGGCCCTGCTCTGAGGACTTCCCTCTAAAATGGCTTCCAACTGTTGGTTGTTCTCTGAGGTATAATCTGGCTTCTATCTTTCTGTCATCCCCTTCAAATTTTACCTTAGAATAATTTGAGTTCTTTACTTCTTTTATATATACAACTGGTTTTGATAAATTCCCCTCAGGATGGGGTTTCTTATTATTATAGTTTTGGATTTTCAACTCTATTTGTTTCATTTTGAATTCGTGTTCCATCTGCTTTTCCCTCATTGCTATTTCTCTTTCTATGGCTTCTGCCTCTGCCCTTCCGGCTTCAGCTCTTTTCCTGGCTTCTACCTCTGCCCTCATCTTTTCTTGCTCCATGGCTAATTGTCTGGCTTCAGCCCTTTCCTTTGCTGCTAACTCAGCCCTCGTCTTTTCTTTTTCTTGTTCCAGGGCTAATTGCCTTAATTGAAATTCTCTTTCACATTTCCACTTTTGAATCTCTTGGGAGGTTAGAGTAGCTTCTCCTTCTCCTCCCTTTGAGGCATCCTCCTCATTCTCCTATCATCCTCCTGCTCAGCTACTTCAAGTGTACTTTCCTCTTCGTGAGGTAACCCTTGTCCTTCAGGAACCTCCATCGTCAACTTTTTCCCTCTCTTAGGAGGCATGGCTTATCTGTTTTCTGGCAGAATCAAAACACAAACCTCTTTTTAAAAGGGACCTATTTTTTTCTCTGTGTTAGAGAGAGATACTTCGTAGCTTAGACAGCCTGTTCTGGGTTTGCTTCACTACTTTGTTATTCCAGGCACCCTGCCTGAGCTCCTTGTGGGATACACTGTTTCTTTTGGCTTCTGCTCCTTGTTCCCTCAGCACTCTCAGAGCCTGGGACCCCAAAGCTAACCCACTGGTCTTTCACAATCCTGAGGTAAACCTTAAACTTTAGAATTTTCCCTCAGAGCTTCCCCTTTTCTGCAGTCCTTCCCTGGTCTGCCTCAGGAATCCCTTTTAAGCTTCTCACCTAGCTGCTTCCAAGGGTCCCACTCCTGCCCTTGCAGCACCAGACTACTAGGTTCCCTAAGCTCAGGAAATTCAAGTTTTCTTTGGTTTACTGAAATCTTTTGGCTCACTGGATTATCTTTCGAATCCCACCACGCTGCCAACCACTTGTGGTGATCCCCCTTGTTGCCCCTTTATTTCCTTTGGGCTCCACAAAGGTAAACATGCCTTTTCCCTTCTTTTCGCTGCCACCAGGCATTTCTCCTAATACCACTACAATTCCCACACACAGGAGCTGCTCATATAACTTAGGCATCAAGGGTTTGATCAAATATTCTTTTATTAATGAACAAAATCATAAGGAGAATCAAATATATAACTGTGTCAGGTGTGCATGTATTAGATCAAGTATTCAGTCACTGGTATTTCTCATGTTATGCGTATGTGGTCATTCCTGCTTGTTCAATATATTTTACTCTTTCAATTTCCTTTTCTTTTTAGCTATTCCTAAACCCTAGCATTCTCTCCCCATCTTCTTGTCCCTAATTCTCCCTATCCCTATCTCCTTCCAACTGTCTCTAACTGTCTCTTCCAGCTGTCTTAACTGTCCTTTTTGCTCTGCCTCTCCTGCCCTATCCTCTGATTGACAGGCAGGGATGACATCATCTTTTGGATTCCGCTACACCTTCCATATTCATATCTATCTCAGGTTATGGAGAGACTGGCACAGCTTCATATAGGAGAGGTCCAACATATTGTTCTTCTGTTCCTCTTTTGTTGACTTTCTTTTGTTAATTAAAATGAACCACATGTCTGACATTGACTTCACATGTTTTTTTTAAGTTCATGTATCTTTGCTGCCCAGAGGATAGACTAGCAAAAGATCTGTCCAATTCTAGAGCCCAGTTTGTGCCTTTTGTGTTGGTATGTAAGCATATGCCAGGCTTCCAAAAACTTTGATATGCTCTACACTTGGTACTCTGTTGTACCATAGCAAAAATTGGGTTTTTCTGTATGTCTTTGGTAGGCAGCCTGTTCTGAACACATGTTGCTGTCATTATAGCATTATCCCAAAATTTGTTAGGCAACATTTCATCTGCAATGGATCTGTCCATCTCCAAAAGAAATCTCAGATTTCATTCAGCTTTTCCATTCTGCCCAGGAGTGTGTGGAACAGGTCTCCTGTGCATAATGTCTTGTTCCCCCAGGAAAACTTGGTTGTTGTGTGAAATGTACTTGCCACCATTATCTGTTTGCAGTTCTTTATGTTTTCTTTTGAATTTGCTCCTTACCATGGCCACATACTTCTTCAGCAAATCATGTTTCTCACTCTTCTCCTTCATCAGGTAGGTGACACAGTACCTCATTCACAAATATGAGAATATATCCATTATTGGATCAGAGCTTAGAAAACTTCCTCTTTTAAACTCCACCTTCTAGAATCCCTCAGTGCCCATTCTGCCTGGAGGAATTTGAGGAGTTCTAGTCCAAATGAGTAACTTCTTCCAGCGTCTGATCTGGACTCACGTCTAGTTAATATGCTTATCATAAGACACATTCTTCTTTCAACTAGGAGGGCATGCCTGCATCTTTGACGTGCCATGTGAAAACAGAAGAATTCTTGAGTTAGCAGGTCTCATTTTAATGCTCCAAACAGGCAGGCATAATGTTTTACTACATTAGCACCTGAGTTAACTAGTAAAATGCCAGTTGCTAGACCTGGAGAAAATCACGAAACCAGTGGGTTCTGAAAGGAAATCTAATGTTTTTGGAAGGTTAGGCTGATGTGGCACAAGTTGTTACTTGGATTTGCTTTCTACTTCTTGGTGGCAATTAAAAAACTAAGCACATAAACTCTGCTTTTTGTGTTCTTCTTGCACCCATTTGGCCAGCATAAAGGAAGAAATGTAAGCTGTTTCCTTGGTACTAAACACAAAGGAACTGACATACAGTATTTAAGTACACAGTGTTTGTTAGTACACATTCCTTACTCCTGTCGGAAAGCAGATAATCCTTGCCAAAGCCTTGAGTAAGACTGTCTTCAACTTTAGTAACATAACTTAAAGGTAAAGAAGAAAATTGCTGGTTTGAAAGCAGATTAACCAACAGGAACAGGAAGAGGCAACCAATAAATTGAAAAATAATGCCTTGTTGGTCAGATTATCAAACAAGCCTTTGTAACATGGAGAGAATATTTACTGAAACAGGCCCACTCAATGAAGTATGCTCCTAAGGCATCATATAACAACAGCAATAATGCTAATGATGATGATGATGATCTTTATCACCATCATTGAACTGCAGATCGATGGAAGGGACTTTATGGATTACTGAGTGCAGCTCCTGACAAGAAGATGCAGTGGGGAATTCTTATGGCTCTGCAGCAGGATAACGAAACCAGCAGTAGAGCACAATCAATGAGAAACAAGGCAAGCAAAGGGCTACCTATCAGGGACTGTAACCAGGGTAGGGCTCCTTGGGTTTTATGCCAGAGTGCCAACATTTAGAGGGCATTGAAATCTAGAGTTGAATCTACTAGTCAGTGTTAGGGAAATGATACCCTGTTTGTTGCTGCTCCTAAAGTTTCTCTTTCTTTAGTGGGGGAACCACGTTATCCATTCTGCTTGAGGGCAAGTGAGTGGGAGATTGCATTATTTGCCACAGCTGCCAAAAGCTCTTTTCTTACCACTGACAATGCCTACTGACATGGAGAAACTGCTTCCACCATATTGTTGTTATGCCTATAAGCTATCCAGGAAGTCAGCAGAGTGATCAGATGGCAGGTCTTCAGCTCTGTAGCTCTGCCGGCATAGCAGGACTCCTGCTTTGATTTTGGGTTGTGTACAACTCATATATAATAAGATGAAGTTTCTGTGAAGACTGCTGGTGACTGTTCTGTAAAGTTTTCTTTCCACAATTTTATTATTTATTCATTCGATTTATACCCCGTCCCCCTAGACAGCATCTAGTCGGGGTGGCTTACAAAATCATTAAAAAATCATTAAATAACAATAAAAACATCACAATCATAATCATAACAATCATAATCATAAAACATTTAAACAATAATATAGTATGATCAAGATGGGGAATGAAAGAACAGAAAAACAGAATTCAAGAATTGATAGGAAGGAAGGCCTGCCTGAAGAGCCAAGTTTTTAAATGGCTCTTAAAAACACCCAGCGACGGAGCCAGGCAGATCTCTGATGGAAGGCTGTTACATAGTCGAGGGGCCACTGCTGAGAAGGCCCGGTTTCTTGTTCTTTCTTTCCGGGCCTCTCTCGGCGTTAGGCCCTTCAACCGTCCCTCCTGGCTATGCCGAGTAATTTGGGTAGATCTGGGTGGGAGAAGGCAATCTGCCAAATACCGAGGTCCCAAACCATTTAGGGCTTTATACATCATCATTAACACTTTGAAGTTGATGTGGAAGTGAATGGGCAGCCAATGCAAGGCAGCCAGAGTGGGGGAGATATGCTGGTGTTTTCTCACCCCACTAAGGAGTCTGGCTGCCGCGTTCTGCACCATTTGAAGCTTCCGCATCAGCCTCGAAGGCAGCCCCACGTAGAGCGCATTACAGTGGTCTAATCTCGAGATTATGAGCGCGTGGACGAGAGTAGTGAGGGACCCCCCCATCAAGGTAGGGTCGCAGCTGGGCGATCCGCCACAGATGAAAATAGGCAGAGCGGGCCATGGACGCCACCTGGATTTCCATGATAAGCGTCGGGTCCAGATGTATCCCCAAGCTGCGAACCTCACTCCGTGCGGTGAGAGTCACCTCCCCAAAAGAGAGGGAATTTCCCAAACCGCCAATGGAGGGGCACCCCCCCTCAAGACCTCTGTCAAAGTGGATATCCAACTAATCTCTGGTTTAGCATCCCACAGCTTTCCTTTATATTGCATATAAAATATTGGAATGACCCAAATGCTGCTGAATTCACTGACCTCTGTTTTCTTTCCAAGATGGGTCTGATTAGTGGAATCTGTCTCATTGTTGGAACTGTGATAGGTTCGGGGATCTTTATTTCACCCAAGGCAGTGCTGGCAAATGTTGGAGCCATCGGACCTTCCTTAATCATCTGGGCAGCCTGCGGAGTGGTTGCGACATTAGGTAATGACCTCTAGTATTTTTAGTTGTAACAAAGGACAAAATCTCAGCTCCCTGTTCAGTCCTATTTCATATAGCCCCCTTTAAGACTGAGTATAATTTTGACTTTTGCTTTGAAATTAGCATATTCAGCCCAGCTGTGAATGAATAACAGGGAAAAATGGTCACCTTTCCATGAATTCATAAAGTTTTAACCTATAAACTGTTTTTCTTCTTTGCTGCAAATTGTCAAGTAACATGAGACCAAATGATAAATATGTGTCCCTGTGTGACATAATTAGAGCATCAAGCTAGGATTGGGGAGTCCTGAGTTCAGATTTCCACTCATCCATAAAATTCTCTGAGTAATCTATGAAAATTCTGAACATCTCGGAGAAAGGATGCAGTATAAACCTAGGTCTGAAATGAATTATGAGGATTTTACCATTTGTGACTATTGAAGTGGGATGGCAGAACTGAGATAAACCTAAGAAAATGGGGTTTTGCACTAATATATTCCTTTGTCAGAGCAGAAAAGAACAAGCAGCTTCTCCCCTATGTCAGTGTACTCCATGCCCCTTAACACGTACCATGGGAAGATTTCATGATAGCTGCCTAAAATGCTCATAAAGGTGCCTGTTATTGGCCAAAAATGATCTGATATATTTATTAATTGTCCTGTGGTGCTTCTGGCTTAAATTAAGAAGATTATTGATGTAATAGAATAAATATGCAAGAAATCATTAATCCTCAATGCCTTTTATTTTCCCTCCAGTCACTGGGCCTTCATTGACAAAGAATAACATTAATGGATACTGTCCGATAGACACCCCGATAGTATAACAACTGTACTCATAAATGTAAAAGTGCGCTTGTGTGGAAGAAAATAACATTTTCCCATGATGGGACAGTATGATTTCTCAACCATAGAAGCACCTGTATTGAGGGAGCAACACCAATGGAGGGAGATGTTAGCTGACCCCATGAATTATTAAGAAACGGACATTTAACTGGAACCTGAGACACTGGAAACAGAGCCTATAAAAATATGTGACAGCTGCAATAGCAGCAAACCCTCAAACATATATTTTTCTTTCTTGAATCACTTCTTTCTTCAGGGGCATTATGTTTTGCTGAACTTGGCACCATGATAACAAAATCAGGATGTGAATATCCATATCTTATGGAAGCCTTTGGCCCAATACCTGCATATTTATTTTCTTGGTCCTCTGTAATTGTCATGAAGCCCTCTTCCTTTGCCGTCATTTGCCTCAGCTTTGCAGAGTATGTGTCAGCTCCATTTTACTCAGGATGTGACCCACCTGTGGTTGTCATCAAGTGTCTGGCAGTTGCAGCCATCGGTAAGTATTTGACTTTTGGTTAGGAAAACAAGTTAGCTGGAAGGTATGATTAGCAAATGACAAGTGAGAGTCTTTGGCAGCAACAGCAAAGCAGGCAGATAGATTTGCTGCCTTCAGATTTGGGGGTCAATGCATAGCAACCGGCATACATTAGATGTGTCTTGCTTAGACAACTCATGTGCTGAAAAAGCCAGGAAACTGAGCTACAGAACAAGAGGTCCCTTGTTCAAATCTCAGTCTCCCATGAACTAATCAAACAAAGGGTGTGATCACGTGGGGAAATAGATCACAATTAGAGAAACAGGTAGAGATAATGAGGGTCCAGCCCCATGGGGCTGGATGGTGCACTCACCGATATGGGTCTGCACTCCCATCCTATCGCTCCAGAGTTCACGATCCCTGAGCCACTCCTGGCAGGAGGCGGGACGACAAACTTCTCTGCCAGGCTGAAGTGTGGCTTGGCGACTGCGATCTCCTGAGCGATAGGATGACAGCGTTAGTGCATTGGTGAGTGGACCGCCCCCATGGGGCCAGACCCTCATTATCTCTCCCCCATCTCTAGTCACAATTTGGACTGCTTGTGGAGCGGCTCAGTGTGATATATTTCCTGGTGATCACACAGCATACGGGGAACTGCAGCTCTACCTGGATCCCAACTGGACCTTTTAGAGCCAGCCGTAGGGCTTCTACTGGGCTGAAGAGATTCCCTGGCAGATGGAAGAGAGATTGCTCCAAGGAGAAATTGCTCTTGTTAAAGCAATCCTTTCCAGTGTGATCAGATGCATGGCTTTGCAGCTCTCTGAGAGCCCTCAAAATTCCTTATCTTCACTTCTCCTTCTTGCCACTGGCCACCATATTATCATGGCAATAATGATAATCTACCTCACTATGCTGTGGTAAGGATTCACTGTAAGAGAATGTGAGAGATGTGGGGAAAACATGGAAGTGTAGCCAGGCTCCTGTTTGAAATAACAGGTGATCTAAGCACACTTCAAGGGATAAGAGCATTGACAGCCTCATGTAAGAAGAGCATCCGGAGCATTGGCAGGATGAGGTGAGGTTGTCCTTCAGATGGTGTCCAATGTTCAGAGTTATGTTTACTTCACAAGAACACTCTTATCTTTGGATGCAGATGCACAAAGTTCAGAACACCCTACTAATTTGACTAGCATATGTTTTATGGCTGTTGTTTCTCAGAGTTACTGGAAGGTCATTCATTCTTATGCCTACTTCAAGCACAAGCAAAGAAACCAAGGAAAATGCAAGTAATGGTCTTGTAATCCATTTTATTTTTTTATTTAGATGTTTTATCTAATTGGTTAACCAATTTTATTTTATTGAAAATCGCTGAGCCATGCTTTATCTGAATAAACAAATGAAACAGACCACAAGATGATTGCTGGCATTCTGAGGATTTTTCTCCTTGGTTTATGCACTTCTGGTAAATGCCTGCTGGTTTTGGTTTATTATCTTTGCTTGGATACAATGATGGTTATGGTTGTGTAACTGTAATATCTGAGCGAAAAACTCAGGATCATCACATAATTGATATCAGTCGCGTTTGTATCAACTTATATAGAAAGATACCAAATGATAAAACTGAATTAAAATAATCATGTTCTGTCAACTCTGACTGATGACAATCCTTTTTCAGGGTTTTCCCCGGTAAAGAAGGGAAGTGGTTTCCTTTTCCTGGGAGCATCCTGGGACTGTACAGCTTGCCCAAGACCACATTGGGTAGCTTTACTCATAGGAGGCACAGTGGAGAATCAAACTCCCAAGTTCTAGCTCTGCAACTAGATACTTAAACTACTGAGCTATCCAACCATCTTGAAACTGAATTGCATGACACTAAATACATAAACAATACATGGAAATGAGTTCTGGCTGTACCTGTCTGGAATCTCAGAGAGAAATTATCTCACCCCATCTCTTCTCTTCTTAAATGGAGATGCCTGGATTGATCTGGGACCATATAAAGGCAAAACATCTGTTCTACTCCTGGGTGATTGTTCCTTATCAGCACCTTACTATACATGCTAAGTCATCTTATTCCTTAACCTGTTGGCATTGTGTGTAAAGAGTTGTATGCTGGTCATGCGCTGTAGCCCCACTGCAGCAAGGGAATCCCATGCCAAAAAGCACATGGTCTTCTTGCTGGATTGCAAATCAGACTTTTGCACCCAGGCACACACATGCACCAAAGTGCATCCAGCTGCAAGGCATCCAGCATAATGCCCATTCATGCTACATGGCTTGTCTAGCTAATGGGGGGTGGGAGTAATTTCTCATTCTCTGTCCTGTCTCAGACTGTTTTGCCCCAGACACAGCACAACTTTGTTAATATACTGTGGGGTAGGGAACACATGGCCTTTCAGCTGTTATTGAAGCATAGCTGCTATTTTCCATCCTCACTTTGTAGTCAGTAAGGATGGGGTGATGGAAGTAGCACAACAGTTGGAAGACTATAAGCATCCCCCTGCCGTGGATTAGCATTTGGTTCATCTAGACCAGTGGTTCTTAACCTTTGTTACTCGGATGTTTTTGAACTGCAACTCCCAGAAACCCCAGCCAGCACAGTTGGTGGTGAAGGCTTCTGGGATTTGCAGTCCAAAACTCCTGAGTAACCCAAGGTTAAGAACCAGTGATCTAGACCAGGAATGGCAGTTTTTCAGGATCTGAATTCTTTCCCCATCATTTCTTACGCAAGATCTTTGTTTAGCCAGGCTGTTGAACAAAGGACTGTGTGTGTGTGTGCTGTGCATGTAATTATTTCAGTGCATGGGTGCTCAGTGAGTTAGAGCAAGGAGTCAGGAATTTGATTCTAAGAAGAACCAGCCTGTGTAGCCTTGGGCAAGTTCCAAGCACTTCCAGAAGAATGAACTTCCAATCTCTGAGTAATCCAGGAAACCTTGGAAAAGTTTGCCAGAAGTCAGGATTGACTTGACAGTGCACAAATATTATTAATTATGAAATGTGCATTCACTCAGGATGTGTAACAATGTGGTATTTGAAAATGCAAAGAAATGAGGGGTGCATTCAGACCAAAGAATCCTAGCACAAGGCACATCTATTCTGTTTGGTCTTCCTTGCCACGTTTTCTACGGCAAGGAAAAAAGACTGAGGTACTGATGAAAAACATGATTTACAAATGTCATTTGGATCCTTGTAAAATGTTGTGAATGAGGTAGAGAAATCACATAATTAAATACTTATTTAGTAGGGTTTTTTGCTGGATTTGAAATCAGGGGTGGAGTAAACTAAGATTCTGAATATTTTATTTCATAGAAGTCTTGTACGATTTGAATTATTACATGTTCTAATGTATATCTTTTTTTATTTAGTGGTTATTACGTTAGTGAATTCACTGAGTGTGAAGTTGGCAAGCTACGTTCAGAATTTTTTCACTGCTGCTAAAATGGTGATAGTTGTAATTATCATTGTAAGTGGCATTGTTCTCTTAGCTAAAGGTATGTTATTTTTTCATTGCAGATTTTCTGTCTACATATATTCTTAGTATTTTTGATAGAGATGGGGTTTGATTAACATTTGGGCTATTGTTTTCATTTGGCTTTCTTTTGTTGGAAAATCTCTTTTCCAACAAAAGAGTCCGAAAAACCCACAACAACCACTCATTTTATTTTTTTTTAAAAACCACATCCATGGAAATAGATTAAAAACAGTTTGTCTCATACATTAAATGTAATACACATTTTTTTAAAAAAAATCACATCCGTTTCAAAGTGTTTTAATATCCATAATAAAATAATGTGAACACCACCGTGTTAAAAGGAGACAATGTTCTATAGTATTTAAAAAATATTTTTTTTTCTTATCAGCATAAAAACATCAAAAGTAGTAACAAAGATTAAACCATCCAATCACAGCAAAGCAATAAAAGTATACTAGAACAGCAAGAATCCAAAACTGTCACCAAAACACTAGTAAGAAGTGAATAGTCAATAAGCAAAATACACAATCTAATTAACAGCTAGGGAGAACAGGAGTGTTTTTATGTGGTATCTGTGTGGGTAGGCAGCAACTAAGTCCCTCCACCGAAAAGGTTCTGTACCTGATCAACACTTAGTGCAGCTCAGAAAGCTGACTGCCATCTTATGGCCAAAATCCTCTTGGGGGGTTTAGATATGTGTAACAGGAATGATGTCAGCATCATCAGCAGATGCCTACTGGTGGGAAGCATCCAACTTTGTCTCGCTGTGTGCAACCCATGTGTATCCCAATATTGAAAAAGGAAGTCTTTAATCAGTGGTAATATGCCATTGATGGTGATGTCATTCCCCATTGCACAGGTGAATCTGTGCAACAAGATTTTAGCTAAAGAATTTTCTTCTCATTCTCTTGTAAGACTATTGGGTGTGATTACGCTATTGAAATAAATCAAGTGATGGACTGGGTTTTTGAATTTGGCTTAAAGTTACATGGTAATAATGTTTTTTGAATCAGTGTGTGCATCCTCTTGGGAAGACACAGAGACATGCACATGGGGTGGAGAAGGAGAGGGAGCACGGAATTGCCAACCAGGACTGAAACTGGCAAGAGACAATTTGATTAAATCAATATTTCCAGGCTTGTGAAGGAGGAAGCAAGTGAAGAAAGAGAAGGACATAAGACATAATTTACACCTACAAAACAATTCAAAATAAATCAATTTCACAAACCATTTAAAATACACTATCCTCTCGCAGCTGAGTAAAATACCTTGCTTTCCAATCAAAAGAACTTCCTCTCAGGGAAAAAACATACGTGCTTCCAAAGGTGCTTTTAGTCAATTTTTTTAAAAACTCATTTCAAACATGCCAAACTTGTATCAAATACAGTTTTTTCCATGTGTAATCAAGCTCTTAGTTAATTATGTGCCATCAAGTTGGAACCAGCTTATAGTGATCCTACTAGGGCTTTCAAGGTGAGAGAGATATTTAAAGAGTGGCTAAGTGGGGAACTGAATCCTAGTCTCCAGAGTCCTAGTTCAGCACTCTATCTATTACATCACACATCAGAAGTAAAGACATTATTAAAACATCTAAAGACACCTTCTTTACAACCACACATAAAATAAGGAAGACCATTTTGTCTAGAATCTAAAATTATTTAAGTAGATTGATGTTGGATCTACAACAAAGACATATAATTGTATGTCATGCTGTAGAATCAGTAATCTGATATTGTTCAGAAATAACCAAATGCGTACTGAAACATCAGTGGCTCCATGAATGAGGTAAGGTAGTGCACAACAAAATGTTTCCCCTAAAGGGGAGAAAACCCCCCAATGTGGCCATAGTTGCTGGTAGATTCTGGAATTACAGCTACAAAAAAGCAGAGGAGGGACATGTACAAAGTAATCTATCACTATTCATGGATAGCCATGTAGACCTGATATGAAAACAACATAAGATATTTATTGTGAGCAAACATCTGTGAAGTAGAATTCAATTCCTCAGATGCACAAATTACTGATTTAGTTTCTGTTTCTTTTTTTTTAAATTTTGCAGGAAATACTGATAACTTCAACAATTCATTTGATGGCCCCCCACTCTCGGTGGGTGCTGTTAGCCTGGCATTTTATCAGGGACTGTGGGCGTATGATGGATGGTAATGTATTTTTATGACTCTCATTTGTGGTTGAAGTATAACCATATACCAGGTTTTAATCCCTAAGAATCCCAGTTTATGGCTTTAAAATTATCTTAAAAGCTTTCATGCCTGTTAGAGATCAAAGGAAATAAAATTCTTGTCCTTTTTTGGGGTGGAGAGAGTAAGCACATTCTTTAGCTGGTGGAACTTGTGTTTCTTTGTTTTGGGATCAGTATGCGGTGGGGGTCTTATCAGGATGATAGATATGTTTCTTAGGTAAATTCTACACTTAATATTTCTTCCTAAATGATGTTGTAACCATCATGTAAAAGGTACAGTCTTGGTTGCAGCATTCAAGGATTCTCTGAAAAACATCTAGGTAGATATCTAACCTTGCGACTGACTCAAGCTAACCAAATTGAGAAGGGCGTGTCATCATTCCTGCGTTATTTGCTTGCTTCAATGACTTCACCATTTCAGCTAATAATGTGGCACTGAAAGGGAATAATCAATTTCCATTTTCCTAAATACCTGCCAGTCTGACTTGATTTCAGATGTAGAAACTGTGTTCTTATATAAGCTCTGGCATTTCACATGTGATATTCCCGATGCAGGAAAAGACAAAGGTGGGATAAAGGATAATGACTTGGAAGTCTGTCCAGTGTGAGTCAAAGGGTAGATCTTAAAATTGATTCCCCCCCCCCCAAATGTGAAGCCTGCAATGAATTTGACAGCATCTTCTGAGCTGGATCTTTCTGACACAAGAGCACAGATTGCATAACTGATAAAGATTAACAGAATAATTCTCAGGGAGATGTGAAGCCTAGGTCTGGCTTGTGGGTTGTACCAGCTGAGACTGCACTGAAGGATGCAAGGGGGGGGATCACATCATTGAATGCTCAAACATTCCTTGCATACAATGCCCGCAGGCATCATGAAACCTACCCCCCTGAGCTGATCTTGCAGCACCATTTTGAAGCTTGCTTTTAACAATGAAAACTAGCAAGCATATATGCCCAGTGGAGCTCAGCCTGATGAAGGCCAAAACAGGTAAAAAACTAGTGTTTTTTCCAATTTTTAAAGGAGTCCAATAAACGAATCACACAATTTACTCACATATACATAAAAATATATATTTACCCTGCTTTTCCCTTCCAGAAAAGAGCAATGACTTAACATAAAAATACACAAAAATAACAGTTACCCATCACTGGAACAATTTGCATCAGAAGGGAGGGATATAAGTTTCTAAACATTACTATTATGAATAATATTATACCTTATTACAATTAATATGCTTAATACCCATTGCCAGGAAAACATGTCTGAGAGGGTATCGTTGTACTTGGTGTCTACTTGAGGGCTTCCTGCAGACATCCAGTTGGCTACTGGAGGAACAGAATGCCTTGGGTCTAATCTTGTGAGGTTCTACTTTTTTTTGGGGGGGGGGCTACTGGAAATACTGAACTCATAGCCTAATATGTATTTGTTTCAAAATACAAACAAAAAAGAACCTCCATGGGCTGAAAGGAGTTACCTCCTAAGTTAGTGTCCAGTAACATGTAATGTTTTGGTGCTTCCTTTTTTTCCTAGGAATCAGCTCAATTATATTACAGAGGAGCTTAAGGATCCTTACAGGTAAGGAAAAAAGTGTGTAAGCCAGGGCTGAGGCACCTTAGGAGGCCCTAAAGCCATTTTTCAGATTTATTGGCTGCCCAGTATCTGTAATCCCAAGGCAGATGGTCCAAAGAAGGGAGGATATGGCCAAAAAGATTGAAAAATGGTTTAATTATCTGAAAATTGTGTTTTAACTGAAAAAGCCCTCTCGCATTATCCAGTGGCCAAAAATGTAAAAACATTTATTTCAAAGTGAGGGGTAGGAGGGTCTCAGGCCTGCTAAGGGACCTTCAAAACATGGGCAGAATGACTCTTACACTTGCTGGGAGGGGAAGGAGGGGGCCTTCTGAGCAAGTGAAGCAAAAATAATAACAAAAAAAAACCCACACAATTTTTTTCTTCCCCTAAAATTGAACAATGTTGGTGTGTATGTAGCAGAGCTGCATGTTGCCCATCCCAAAGTAAGCCAGTAAAAAAACACTTTCTTATTATATGTAGTTGTGTAGGGCAAAAACCAGGTTTGACATTTAGTCAATGCTCTTAACGTGCACATTTATGTCATGTTATGTCATCCCTCCTGCCAACCTAGCAGTTCGAAAGCATGTAAAAATGTGAGTAGATAAATAGGTACCACCTCAGTTGGAAGGTCATGGCGTTCCATGTCTCGTCGTGCTGGCCACGTGACCACGGAAGATTGTCTTCAGACAAACACTGGCTCTATGGTTTGGAAATGGGGATGAGCAGTGCCCCCTAGAATCGGGGACGATTGGACTAAATGTCAAGGGGAACCTTTACCTTTACCTGTGTCATCTCATGTGGGTGGGATGGGGCAGGGCTTGCTTTATTTGGCAATTGGTTCATTGAAAGGTAAGCATAGGCTTTTTCCACAATGATGGTAAATCAACTAAGTTACTATATTTAATGTATTCTCGAAGGCTTTCATGGCTGGGATCCGATGATTGTTGTGGGTTTTCCAGGCTGTTTGGCCGTGTTCTTAAGGTTTTCTTCCTAACGTTTCACCAATCTCTATGGCCGCCATCTTCAGAGGACAGGAGTCAGAACCATGTCTGTAACTCGGTCTGTTAATATATTTAATCAAAAAGACCTGCCTGAATCAGGTATGAAGAACACTAGTGGATTCTAATGATGTGGCATGATACAGTTTGCAGAGAGAGCAGACTTGGTTGAAGGTGCACTGAACACGAATGACTGAATTGTCGAAGTCCCTGGTACTTACTTCCACTTTTGCTTTGCTGGAAGAATTATACATAAAACAGATATTGCAAAAATGCCCTGAGTCTTTCTTATCTGAAAGACAGTAAGAGGGTGACTATATGGGAATTTAACCCACTGTTTGGTCTGCTGCAGGGATGGGGTGTTTTGTCCATAAAGATGGAAACCAGACAGCATCTTTGCTAGAGCAAACCAGCCTACTTTCTCCTGAGCCATGAAGCTCACAAAGCAACCTTGGGAATCTCTTTTTCTCTTAGCATGATCCATCACCAAGGGTTGTTGAGAGGACTGACAAGAAGGATCCACATATGATACCTTAAACTCCTAGGATGCAAGACAGAATGTGTTACTATTAAAACATAAGTAAGATCTTTTAAAAAGCTGTAACAGCCTTAAAATGTAGACTGATAGCATTATTTATTTTTATCATTTAGAAATCTACCACTGTCTATCATTATTGGAATCCCGCTCGTCACTGTTTGTTACATTCTGATCAATGTTTCCTATTTCACGGTTATGACATCAACAGAACTCCTGCAGTCTCAAGCTGTCGCTGTGGTAAGAGTATAAGATTTTGTGAATAGATTCAGTGGCAGCAAATCAACAAAGTTTTTGTGATACTTTAAAGAAGAAAAAGTCTTATTTAGCACAAGCTTTTGTAATCAACAGCCCACTTCAGCGGCTGCATCTGAAGGGTGCTGTTGGCAGAGAAGAGTGGTTGTTCTTCGTGCCCTCTATGAATGCACGCAATTGGGTTGTTCTGCGCCTGCGCTGAATGTCTCAGAAGTTTCTAGAGCTTAAAGACACATCATTAGTGGGACGTTCTCCTGTGGAGTGCATGCTCCACCCATCCTAGGTCCCCTCAGTTCCTTTTTTCCGCCGTGTCATTCAGACCTGTTTTGGAGACATAGAGCATTCTATCAATCAGAGCATTCTAATAAATCATACTTCTTTTCAATCATCATTGTTTTACAACTGTACCTTATTTGACGTTCCCGTGAGTTCTTTCCAATTTTTTATCTATCCATGTTTTATCTCCCCCCCACTCAACCATTTTTCCCCTCCTATTTTTCTCGCTTTATGGCCGCTCCTGGCCCTTTCAAGCGGTGTGTGATTTGTTCTAACAAAATCCCGTTAACTGATGGGCATGACCGCTGTCTCTTCTGCCTTGGAGAACAACATCCTACCCATTCCTGTGCTGCATGCAAGAGGCTAACAAACGAGCCCTTAAATTTCGCCTCCAAAGACTGAGGTCTGACCTTTGGGAGAAGTCTCTCAACCCAGCTGCGGCTTCTATGGAGACTACACGGTCACCGGACCCTCAAATAGAGCGGCAACATACAACCGTGCCTGCTACCAGCTCCATGGCTCCTCCTCAGTCCAAGGAGAAGTCGAAGTCTGCATCGAAATCGAAGTCGGTGTCGACATCAAAGACCTCAACCCGAGCTCTAGACTCCTCTAAAAAGAAAGACAAAATGACATTAAAAAAGACCTCCAAATCAATTCATCTTGACCCACCACAACTGACTCTTCCATCTCCCATTATGGAAGAATCATCTAGAGATGCTCCAGGGTCCACATCTGGGAGAGATGACCCTCCTTTACCTTCAGCCCAAGCTCCAGTCTCGACTGGTAGCCTGTCGCCTGGTGTTGGTCTTTCTCTGGCTGATGTGCAGTCCAGCCAGGCCTCGGCCCATTTGAGCTCTGCATCATCAGGGTGGGCAGTTCCAATTGAGCTTTCTGGCTCTGAGTCACCACACTATTCTCCAAGGAAATACCGAGAGAAACGAAAACACCTCTCACCTCCTCGGTACGACCCCCCACATCGGGAGTACTACTACTACCCACAATCATCACAATACGAAGATAGATACTATCAACATGATCCTTACATAATTGAAGATCCTCAAGAACAACTATATTATGAGGAACCCAAACGAGTCCGATATACACTACCATATCCATCTCAATATTCACCGTCACTCTCTCCATCTCCCCCTCGACACTGACACCGATCTCAACATTCGGTACCGGCCTATTCTACTCTTCCAGCCAAACTGACTCTAAAATGTTCCTTAATGACTGGTCAATACTCCAAGTCCAAACGCTCCAAACAGTCTTCCAAAGGTCTCCCTCAAACATCACTACAAGTCACCACTACTTATAAAGGTCCCCCTCCTCCTACTCCCGATACAGAAAGACATCCCACATGCCTTCCTTCTACAGTTCAACCTCCTTCTGCACAACCATTGACACCGAGACTTCGAGACCTATCTCCATCTTCATCCTCCTCATCTATTCAAGGCTTAGGCTCAGATACATCACAGGAGTCCCCATCAAACTTACCAACACCGACTTCTGATGTCAATGAGAATCATCCACTGTCTCTGTCAGAAGACATTACCTTGTACTCCCAACAGGTTATGAGAATGGCCAAGTCCTCTACAACTTGAAATCGAGGAACCACCACTACCTAAACCTGATTTGGTCTTTGATGACATCAATCAAGACAAAACAACTCCACTCAGTCTGACCTTCATTCCAGCCATGCTTGATTTAATTAAAGAATCTTGGGACAAACCTCCCTTATCATTACAGATTTCCAGATGCACTGAAAACCATTATAAGACACACAGACCCGATACTGGCTTTCTCACCAAACACTACACCTAACTCATTAATAGTTGAATCCAACCAATCAAGAGCCCATAACAAATCATCCATCACTCCCACAAACAGAGAAGGAAGAAAACTAGATATACTTGGCAGATGACTCTATGCCCTCACTTCGTTCATATTGCAAGTGACAAACTATCAAGTGGCAATGGGAGCATACCATAGACAACTATGGAACAAAATTCTACCTATACTTGAATCAGCTCCCAAATCAATTAAAACAGAAGCCATCAAGACCCATAAAGAAGTTCTACACTCACTCAGCAAAGAATTGCATCTCGCCACATGGCAGATGCTGCATCTGCTGTGTGGCAAGATGTGCACTTGTGCACTTCTGTCGCCTTACGGCATCATGCATGGCTTTGATCTACTGGACTTTCAGACGATGCCAGATCTAGAATAGAAGATCTGGCATTTGATGCAGCCAGACTATTCCATCAAAAAACGGATGAAATAATGGAAAGTCTTCATAAAATACACAAAACAGCCCAGTCCTACTCAACCCAACAGACCGACAAATACCAACATTCACAATACCGACGACAACCATTCTATCAACAATCATACCAACAATTTCAGCCATATCAACAAGATAAACCTCAATCATCAGACAAACCCTTTCAAGGATCTTCAGCCTTGGTATCATCGTCCTTTCGGAACCAACAACAACAGTGCTGGCAGCCCTTTTGCTGGCCTCAAAAGAAGGTTAAGCAATACCCATAAACTCCCATTACCATCTTTTCATTCTCCAACTCAGTTTCACACAAGACTAAGCCCATTCTTTCATGCATGGCAGTCTATAACTAACGATCAGTGGGTCTTCTCTATCGTCAAATACAGTTACTTTATTGAATTTAAATCTCCACCCCAGTAGGTCTGGGGTTGTCACAGTAAGCAATACCCATAAACTCCCATTACCGTCTTTTCATTCTCCAACTCAGTTTCACACAAGACTAAGCCCATTCTTTCATGCATGGCAGTCCATAACTAACGATCAGTGGGTCTTCTCTATCGTCAAATACAGTTACTTTATTGAATTTAAATCTCCACCAAGTGGAAGAATCAAAAATACTCCATATTCTACTATCGTTCAAGAAGAAGTCTCTCTTCTTCTTCAAAAACAAGCCATAACCACAGTCGCTTCATCTGAATGAATCTTGAGACTCCTCAAATTTTAAAAAGCCATTCAACCCTTTCGATCTCTAGCCTCCGTATCAGCCCATCATGTCCAAAATCTTCTTGGACTCATGGCATCAATAACCTCGGTCATACAACATGTTCGACTCAACATGAGATTGCTTCAATCATGGTACCTGTCCCTATTCAATCCCATGAAAGACCATCCATCTATGCGTCTAACGGTAACATCTGAATTAGCCCATCAACTCACCTGGTGGACGTTTCTCCTAAATCTACTTGTTGGACAACCCTTTCTGCCTCTTCAACTGACGATACAAGTTACCACCGATGCCAGCCCATTGGGTTGGGGAGCACACTGCCTGCATCACAAGATTCATGGCCTATGGACAAATCAGGAAAAATTGTTGCACATCAATCATCTCAAACTTTTAACAATTATCAGAGCCTTTCACGCCTTCCTGCTGATCATAACAGGATGTGTAGTTCAACTTGTCTCAGACAACACTACCGCCCTTTATTACGTGAACAAGGAGGCACACATTCTTTATCCCTTCTGTACCTCACCATCGAGCTCTGGGAATGGTGTTACCTACACATCTTCCCCATAGCAGTCCATATAGCCACAGAAGAAAACAGACTCACAGACTACCTCAGTCACTTGACATGGAGGACACACGAATGGTCTCTAAACGATACAATCGTCAATCTCTTGTGTGACCATTGGGGCACTCCTACCATCATTTTTGCTTCATGAGCAAATGCCAAAATTACTGCTCCCGAGCTGGTATTGACAAGAACTTGATTGGAGACACATTCATGATAGATTGGGACAAGGACCTACTCTATTTCCTCCCATACCACTCATACAGAGGACTATCATCCGACTCTGACAGTTCTAGTCCAATGCAATCCTCCTTGCCCCGTGGTGGCCGAGGCAACTGTGGTTCACTCACCTCACATCGATGTCAGTAGACTCATTCAGGCTCCCTCTGATCCCCAATCTTCTCACACAGGATGATGGAATGATCTACCACCCAGATATACCATCTCTGAATCTGACAGCCTGGAGGATACTCCCGCCATAAAGGATGTGCTTGATTGAGCTCAAAAGCCCTTGACCCAGCTGCTATATCAAAATAAATGGAAAGCATTCCTCTTCTTCACTGATTCACACAACTTACCTGCAACACGTCTCCTTGAAAACTTTACTCACCTTTCTCCTTCATCTGTTCAACTTTGGACTCTCCTATTCCTCTTTGAAAGTCTATATCTCAGCTATTGTAGTTCATCAACCTCCCAACTCTAGATCAGCTAAACTCTTTTCTCACCGGACTGTAAAAAGATTTCTCAAGGGACTCAACAATATTCGTCCTCCACGTCAACGTATTATCCCTCAATGGTTCCTACAACTTGTCCTCAATATACTTATGTGTCCGCCCTTTGAAACTATGTCTACATGCAATCTCAAATTATTATCACTGAAATCTTCCTTTCTTGTAGCAATAACATCCGCTAAACGAGCCAGTTAACTCGCCGCCCTCCGTTCCGATCCACCCTTCCTCCAGTTCCATCCGGATAAGGTCACTTTGTATTTTGATGTTTCCTTCTTACCCAAAGTTATATCTGATTTTCACCTTAATCAACCAATCATCCTGCCAACTCTTTTTCCATCACCATCAACACCTCTCAAGTGCATGCTCCATTCACTTGATGTAAGATGCTCTCTAGCCTTCTACATTGACAGGAGCAAGCCTTTCAGAAAATCACAGACTTTTTCTATGCTTTCATGGTCCTCATAAAGGGGTGCCAGCTTCCCCACAATCTATTTCTAAATGGGTTGTCCAAGCTATATCATTGGCGTACAAGTTATCAGGCAAATCACCTCCTGAACACTTAACAGCACATTCCACCAGAGCGCTGTCAACATCCACTACCTTCCAGTGTGGGACTGAACTCCCTCACATCTGCCGTGCGGCCACATGGCCTACTCCATTGACCTTTATCAGACATTACCATCTAGATGTCAGAGCACGGAGTGACGTTGGTTTTGGAAGAGCTGTCTTGGCATCCTTTTTACCGTGAAATCCCACCATCCGGTAAGTGAGCTTGCTAGTCACCCAATTGTGTACATTCAGAGGCCATGAAGAAGAAAAATAAGTTACCTACCTGTAACCATAGTTCCCACCCATCCTCCTCTCTGTCCATCATGTTTTAATCTTAAATACTTCTCTTATCTGGCGGACATTTATCAGGAACTGAGGGGACCTAGGATGGGCAGAGCATGCACTCCACGGGGGAATGTCCCACTAATCATGTATCTTTAAGCTCTAGAAACTTCTGAGATGTTCAGCGCAGGCGCAGAACAACCCAATTGTGTGGATTCGCAGAGGGCTACTAAAAGAACTATGGCTACAGGCAGATACCCCTTTTTTTCTTTTAAAGGGTTAAACCAATAAAACCCCAAAACTTTGTAGCGTTTATGAAATAATATTCCTATATTTATTTAAAACCAATGCTTGAGTGTGTTTATTCACAGTATATACTACAGCCAAAATCTTGTTACAGTTATGCAAAAGGTGTAACTTTGAGTGGAGAACTGCCATAGTTAAATATCTATAAGCATTATCTGTGGCATGTCCAGTCACATGACTCAGTATGCAACAGATATTATCCACAGAGTTCTTAATTTGTGGTAATTCTCCAGTAAAAGTTACACTTCTTACATAACTGTGTAACAGGATTACAGTCTACATGTGATAGTTGTCTTGTAATTTCTGCTTGAATAGCTTGGCTTTTTAAAATAACTAGCTATTGCAGGGGAGGCTTGCATGGTCAGATATGTGTGTGTCACAGGGTAGACTCAGGGTAGACCCAGCTATGGTCTGTATTAGAACTGGACATCACAGTGCTTGGTATTCATGACTGGAGGAATGTAGGAGTTTGCCATATACTGGGAGACAACAGGTACATTTAGCCCAGTATTGTTGACATTGGCTAGCAGTAGTTCTCTAAGAATTTTAAAGAAGGATATTGTCCAAGCCATATCTTCAGAGCTCAGCTGTTACCTTGTGGTCTCCTATCCAAGAACTAACCAGGTCTGAATTAACTTATTTTTAAAAATTGGACAGGATCAGTACATTCAGGTTGGTATAGTGGAAAATTCCCCTTGAGACCAATTATGTCTTTCCTTCCATTGTGAATACAATGGCGCCCTGCTTGGTGATGATAATCCGTTCCAGCAAAATCTCTGTAAAGCGAAATCGTCGTCAAGCGGAAAAAAACCAAAACCCATTGGAATGCATTGAAAACCGGTCAATGCATTCCAATGGGGAAATACCTCATTGTCCAGTGAAGATTGCCCATAGAGAACTGCCGATCAGCTGTTTACAATTGCTGTCTTCTGAAGCAGGGGCCCGGAAGGCAGCCATTTTGCGAAGGGAGGGAAGCCATTTTGTGGAGCTGGAAAAATCATTGTTTAGCAAACAAACGGTTTGTGAAGCAGGCTCCTAATCGACGTCAAGCAAAAAAAAAAAATCCCATTGGAACCATCGTTTTGCGATCACAATAGCGATCGCAAAAAACTCATCGTAAACAGATTTCAACATAATGCGGGGTAAGCATCAAGCGGTGCACCACCGTACCCTGTTTCCTCGAAAATAAGACCTAACCTGAAAATAAGCCCTAGTATGATTTTTTCAGGATGTTTGTAATATAAATCCCACCTCAAAAATAAGCCTCATTTAAATGAAACCCCACCCTCCACCCTTGTGCAGCAACCAGAAGATGACATGACTGTATTTGAATAAATGTAGATTGTTATACTTGAAAAAAAATACATCCCCTGACAACAAGCCCTAATGTTTTTTTTAGAGCAAAAAATTAATATAAGATCCTGTCTTATTTTTGGGAAACACGGTATATCTGTGTGTGTTTGTGTCCCTGCCACAGATTCTACTGGAAGCACAGAAAGGTTTTAATAGTAGGGTGTCGAAAAACAAAATGAATCCAAGCCTCCCTCAAGTCACACCATGCTTCTGATCCCAATCTGCTCCTGCTCCTATCCTGGCTTAAAAACAAAACCAAGACCAAACAACTATGCAGCATCATCCAATGGGACTAAAGTTATTGTGGCTAGTTAGGCCTTTTCTGAGTTCACGGAGATTCACTTCCTACCAGTGCTTAATTAGGACTGCAGACATAATTTATTTGTATCAGAACTGACCCGCTAGTGAATCAGCCTGAGCATGTGTACTGGTATGTAGTGGTTCCAGTAGAGCTGGAGACAGGAGCATACAGAGAGTTGCTTTTGAATCTTCTTGCACCTGAGTTGAGCTCCGTTCCCCTGCATCCAGTCCAACACTATGTAGAACGCTAGACGGAATGCTACATACCCAAAGAAACATTCCATTCTCCAAAATGAACCTCACTAACTTTGCATGTAGACACATTTATAAGCCAAATGCATAACAATTTGTTGCTTCAGCCAGTGGGAGAACTGACAAAGTTCAATTCAGTTGCAAGAACACTGAAAATCAACTCACCTTATGCTATGCCTCCTACTGCATGGAATGTTCCCAGAGTACTGGAACACACTCCTGGTAGAGGCATACATGCGCACCACTGTACATGTTCTGGTTAATGTCTCTCATATGTCAGAGCATAACCTGTGTTACAACTCTGTGCAGCAAATCTCAGCATATACACTGCTGGTGTGTTTGCATACGTCTCCAGTTGACTTAGCTTTATCCACTTTTGGGGCTGATTACAATGCAAACATGACACTGATAACAAAAATCCCATTTGTGGTGTTTTGATCTGCACTAACTTAGCCTAGAACATTCAACATGTGAACCACTACAGCATAATGAGTTCCTCCTTAATGTAACATGCTCGGGCTCAGGTTAGTCTTCCTTATTCAGCATTTTACAAACTAGCTTCCTTTATTTTGTGAATGATCAGTAGAAGATAAAAAAAATCTTTTCTCTGCAAATCTGATGGTTCAGGCACAATTTTTGGGGATTGCTGTAAAGTTCTAATGACATCCTACTGGTTATTTTTTGACCTTCCATTCCACCACTTATCTTCCTTGTATGGCCCTTGTAGAGAGGGAGACAGCTTCCTTTCTCTACAAAGTGGGGCATCTCTCCCCCACCACGTTAGTGGCATTACTGTACATTTGTAGCTTTATGGTGGTGGTGATCATTGCCACTATTACTATCATTTTGTATGGAAGCCACAGCTGCATCACAGGGAGAGGGAATTACTTCATGGCTTCATCCACATAATCATCTACATGCAGCCAGAAAGTAAACAAGCAATACACTAGATTTAGTTCTGTTAAGAAAGTTATGTATATTTTCTATAAACCACTTCTACTATTATCACACTTCCATTTCTGCTACATCCTGCATTTTGGAATATGCGTGATTCTCAATTCTTTCTGCTACAGACATTTGGAGACAGGGTTCTTTATCCTGCATCTTGGGTAGTTCCTGTCTTCGTGGTTTTTTCTACCATTGGAGCAGCCAACGGGACCTGCTTTACGGCTGGAAGGTAAAATTCCAAACAGCTTGACCTAGAATTCCAAAACACTGATTAAAGTTGTGAATTAAAACTATGCAGTAAGACACCCAATGCACCCTGTACAATCAGGCTGCAAAATGTGTAGGCTCATAATTAAAATACACACAATATTCAGAGCCAGCTTGAAATTACCATATTTTTCCGCGTATAAGACAATGCTTTTGTCTAAAATCTGTAGATTAATAATTGAGGGCCGTCTTATACACGGAAGGAGGCGGGGAAAGCAGGAATCATCAAAGGGCTTTGATCTCTGCTTTCCCCCTCCACTTGCTAAACCCTGCTTAGATTTCTTAATTTTGTGTTAGAAAAGTGGGGGGCATTTTATACATGGGGGCGTCTTATAGACGGAAAAAATATGGTACGTTAGCTAAGTCCCTCTACTGTTTTCCTGTAGATGCCAGGTGACAGTCAAAAGCATTGATGACAGATATTTTAGCAATACATCGTCTTATTGCCCAAGATATTCCATCTTGTCTTATTTCAGTTAATCCAGCCTTATGCTATTGTAGACATGAACACAGTTTTGCATTACTATCTCAGTTCTCTCCTATATCCAAAGGGCACCACCAGATGCAAACATGGAGAGGTCTCCCTGCTTCATGCCCTTTTAGATGCATCTGGGCAATCTGTACCCCTCTAGAAGTTGTTGCCATTACTATCTCAGTTCTCTCCTATATCCAAAGGGCACCACCAGATGCAAACATGGAGAGGTCTCCTTGCTTCATGCCCTTTTATCCACTTCCATTCAGCCCTAGTTGAAGATGGAGGATGCTAGCAGCGTAATTGAAGCATCTCCCCACCTATTGATTGATTAAAGGCTTATGAACTTACAAAATTACATTTGGAGAGCCACAGGTTGCCCATCCGTGCTTTAATAGCTGTGCACAAAATGATGTTTTAATGCATACAGTTTTCACTCTGCATGATCTTCTAAAAAACTTAATAGTTGCATCTGGTCAGCTCATCACAACTGCTTCTCTAACCCAAACAATTTGCCTCCTTAGGCTTGCTTATGTAGCGGGTCGTGAGGGTCATATGTTAAAAGTGTTATCTTATATCAGTGTTAAGCGCTTAACTCCAGCACCTGCTATCATATTTTATGTAAGTATGTTTTTTGAAATGTCAGTGTTATACTATGGTGAAAGCTGTTTTGTTTCTATGCAAAACTGTCTCCACGGAGATCTTGTATTGTAAAGAAGCAACCAAGTAGTAGGGTTGCCAACTTCAAATCAATTAGAGATTAATCATGCTAAAAAAGGCAAAACGCCAGTTCAAAGCCAGTGTTTGACTGGAAGCTGTCTGGCTGATAATCAAATACATTAAGAATGGCCATTGGATTAGTGCACCTCCAATACTAAGAAATTGACTTCTTCTATTGTTCCTACCCCACAATATATCTTTTAAATTTATTTTTTAACTTTCAGGGTGCAGTAGCTATTATTTATATCATCCCTGGAGACATCAACACACTCATCAATTACTTCAGCTTTGCAGTCTGGCTATTCTATGGTTTGACTGTATCAGGACTTATTGTCATGCGCTTTACCAAAAAAGAACATAAAAGGCCTATCCGTGTAAGTACAGTGGTGCAGCGCTGAATTTTGAACTGTAGGCACTCACAAAGATAGTCTGTGGCCCCACTCCCAAGGAAAGTCCTTTGAAAAAAGGCAGCAGTGTAGATCCCTGTGAATAAACCTGTTCTACCATTTTTTTTCTCCACTAGAAGTAGGTCTTTTGTAAAGCTCATGGGTGTTAACTGCTCATTCAAAAACTAGACTAGCATGAAATGAACCACAAAGCAAGCAAACAAAAACCCTTCACATGTTGGGCTGTTTCGTGGTTTCTTTCAGGGCACCTGCTGTACCTGCTCAGAATGAAGTAAAATGCTGAACTATTAGCAGTTTTGGCCATTTGCACACTTCATAATTTGTCCAATTCAGGACTTCCAGGAGCAGTAGAAAGGTCCTTGTGTGAGAGATGCAAAACTCACAGCAAGTCTTCAGCTAGTAAATATTTGATTTGGGATGTCCGAGTTATATCCCCCAAAAGCAGGTCCCCAGAGCTGCAGATTCTGAGGGAGAGTCTGAGAGAGAAAGTTGGAGAGGGGGGGAGAAAGGAAATAGGGAGAAGGGAAACAAATAATTTCATTTGCCCTCATCCTCAGACAATGAGGGGATGCACTTAATGGACAGCTGACGGGGCTAGAAGGGGCCATTTATTGTTTGGACAGGAAGAGCACGCCAAATGGCACATTGTTCCTTCCCCTCCCCTGACCTCAACACACCTTTTGTAGCCCAATCTACCCCACACCCAAAATAGCCAGTCTGAACAGCCCCAGTTCGGTCCTGTTAAGGAACCCAGATCACCAAATTTACCTCTTTTTGTCTTGCAGGTACCTCTTATCATTCCCATCATTGTGACATTAATTGCTATAATCCTGGTCCTGGCTCCTATTATCACCACCCCTGAGTGGGCATACTTGTACTGTTGCCTATTTATTCTTGGTGGACTTGTCTTTTATGTACTTTTTATTCACTACAGATTTGGATGGGCTCAAAAAATATCAAGTGAGTATCTGTCTTTTTTGGGGTGACTCAAAATATGAGCTGCTTCTGTGCTAAAATACTCTTGAGTCTAGCTGTCTAACCAGGGGTTATGTTGCTCCAAAAGGAAGCATCATACCAGTAAATAATCTTCCTTCTCTTTAGTACGTATTTTCCTGCATACAGCTACCCTATAATGTAGGTACTGTGTCTACATATCCCATTCTAATACACATAAAAAGACAAATCATCACAACAGCTACCCTATAATGTAGGTACTGTGGTGTGTGGCTTCTGTCATCTAAATAATTGTAAAAAGTGGCCTAAATTAAATTGTAAAACGAAACTAAATAAATAACAAACAAACAAACATACTACTAATAATTGTAGTCCTAGCTAGAGAAGATCCACAGCATGAGAGGGATTTAGTCTAACAGAATTCAACCAGTGTCCCTACATTTGAGATCCTTTGCCATGTAGGGCAATACATTTATTTAACAATACATTTAAAAAAGCTAGAATGAAAAAAGACCTAAAAAGTTGGTTGCCATAGTGGGGAGAGAGAGAGAGAGAGAGTCCCATGTTAGTTTTTGCCAAGCTATAATGAGGGGTCAGGAAATACGAGAAGTGTATATGAAATCCAAATCTTCAATACACTGACTTCCTCACTGGTGCCAGAAAATATTCCAAAATCCAAGGACGATTCTTTTTAAAATCTTGGTGGAAGAAAGTTAATTAGAAGTGGAAAGATAGGGATAGTTATATGAGTAAACATGAATGAAATTATATGAAGGTGGACAACAGCAAAAGACATTTACACTCAAGTCAAGAAAATCTCCTGAATTCTGAAATGCAGCTAAGGGTGAGTTTCTGAATAGGGTTGGCACTGTTTTCCATAAGTGGCTTCCCATGCCAGATAGAATCATAGAAGAGTGAAGTTGGAAGGGGCCATCAAGTCCAGTCCCCTGCTCAATGCAGGAATACAAGTCAAAGGATATCTTAAACAGGGAATATTTGAAAAAAGGAATTACAGTCTTATTACTAGGAAGTGAGATAAAAGTAAAGGTTCCCCCTGACATTTAGTCCAGTCGTGTCCGAATCTAGGGGGCGGTGCTCATCCCCGTTTCCAAGCTGTAGAGCCAGCGTTTGTCCAAAAAGTTTCCGTGGTCATATAGCCAGCGCAACTAGAAAGACATCAGCAAATGGTTTCTATTATTGTTAGCTAGACCAGTGGTTCTTAACATTTGTTACTCGGATGCTTTTGAACTGCAACTCCCAGAAACCCCCGTCAGGACAGCTGGTGGTGAAGGCTTCTGGGAGTTGCAGTCCAAAACTCCTGAGTTAACCCAAGGTTAAGAACCAGTGAGCTAGACATCTTTAGTGTGCTATTGTTTCAGGATGAAACCTGATAGTTTGAAGTGCAAGTATCATGATAAAGCGTCATTAAAAAAACCCCAATGTCCTGCAACTTGAAAATAATTTGAAATGTATCTTGTAGTGTTAATAAAACAAGAAGCTGTATTGTGTAGAACACCATAATCACTGATAGGAAGCCAGGATTTCTGGAATCTTCTCCAAATTAATTTAATTTTGACCTCAGGAAAAGTACTGGAGATCATAGTAACTCATGCTGTCAACATCGAGATTTATACAGAAGTAATTATACACAAAAGGAGAAGTGGTCTCACAAAAATGGTAACTCCTGGTCAAAGGTGGTATCTAACTTTTAACAACTTCTTTATTTTAGAACCCATCACTATGCACCTTCAGATGCTGCTAGAGGTTGTTCCACCAGAAGGAGAAAACTGAAGAAAACTAATTTTCCAAACATTAAAAAGGCAACATCCTGCAAACTGGCTTAGCAGCTGCAGTGTTCCCACTTCCATGGGCATGGTTCTGATGATTAGGGGATATCTGTGAGGTTGCAAGTGTCTTGAACATAAACTTCATCCATTTGAAACCTGTTCATTAGCTGTTATGTAGTTATTTCAACAGCATTTCAAATTCAGAGAACTACAACGTTGTAAGGAAATATCTGAATGGAGAAAGAGGAAACCATGAGGATTTCTGAGCCTGTTGATTTTATTTTGACTATAAAAATCAAAATGATAAACATTTCCGCTTCCATTATGATTTGGACTTTCTTTGGCAAACAAACAGAACAGTGTTACAGTACCATCTATCAGTGAACAGACATGGAAGCACAATAATAAAGTCTCACATTTAACAGAAACTTAAAGCAAATTATCAACATCTTAGAACTGCAGAGCTGGAAGGGACCCTATGGATCATCGAGTCTAGCCCCTGTCAAGGAGGTTCAGAAATGACAGCTGTAGATCAAGGAACAGCTGTAGTTGCAATCTATATATTCAGAACCAAAGTCAGCAGAAGCAGCACTGAATGGGCTGGAGGTCTACAGGCTAAGATTCCCATTGAATATCTGTTTGGGAAATGCTTTCTCTGCACCAAAGCAAATGCGTATCAGGAAGTGACTAACTATCCATAGTGAGCTATAAGGCACATTTCCTGAGCATCATGGCCATGGTCCAGAGAGGGATCCTAGACACTTGTGCTTGCTTGTAGGGAAAGTGTGCCTCTGTCTTCATTCCTGGGGGCTTTTAGGGTCAAACTAGATGACACAGCCAGCACACTACAGATAATGGATTGTTATAAAGCAGAATTATTCAAGCCCTGAAAGATGTCAAATTGTCACGGCACAATCTTTCCTCACCTCCCACAGCCTGCAAGTTAGTTTTCTTTTTCTGTGTCTGGTTCTTGTGGGGTCAACCTGGGCTTTGTCTGCATTTCTAACAGCTCAGCTATGAAGCTCTGTGGGGATAAAAGCACTGAGAGACTTTACATGTTCTCAGCTTTTAACAAAGTTCTTTCTGTATCTACTTCAATCTTTAAGAGGTTTGCTATGGCAGTGTTTCTAGCTCAACATCTTTTATACATTTTTATACTGTTTAAAGAATTTTAGGAGAAAGCATCTGGAAAATGGGTAATACTGGAATGTCTTCCCCTCTTCCCGTTATTTTGAATTCCCTACACAGTTAAAAAACTTATCATTCTCCTGTTAAGCAACACTCTGATATGAATAAAGAAAGTTTGATGTGTTGTGAATGTCATCAATGTTTCTTTGTTATGTATTCTGTATTAAAATAAAGTTTCTAAGAACCGCGAGTATGCAGAACCAGCATGTTTTATTATTTCCAAGACACAGAAACACAATATCATCCAACTGTCACACTATGTTTCTTCCTATGGAACACAATGCAACAGAATTCTATGGAACTGTAATAGCAGGAGACCAAACAAAATTTTACAAACTAAATATAGGTAGAAATCCCTGAAGTGAAAAGTACTGCTTTTTCCCCACACTGAAACAAAAATGAGATTTTGACATAAGAACGGGTAAAAGGTGAAGCTACCCCTTCTGGTTGACATTTGCACCACACATGTGGTTTTTCATTCTCTGATTCAAAGTGACAGGAGTGCATGTTTACCTAGAAGGAACTCCCACTGAGCTCAACTCCCCTACGGGTGGTCCAGAAGAGGGTCTGCTGTTTAACACATGATCTGATCCCTAACTCTGCAGATCTAATCTGTCAAAATATGCTCAAGTTGTACATTATAGTGAATAAAGGTAAGGTGCTGTTGAGATCGAATCAACACCACTTTAACTTTACCTGGTTTAATAATAACAATGTGACAAACATTTAACCAGAGAATCAAAAACACTTCTAGCTACTGGCATTCAACCCACATAGCCACTGCAAATCCATAAAAGCCGGGATTCTGCTGTAGAAATGCCATACCACACTATCTTTTATTCTTTCTCTTTACCAAAGCTGCTCTCTAGAAGCAGCTGTTGAAGTCATTTCTCCTCCAATTCTCTTTTCAATTTTGAAAGTTAAAGTCAAGTGGCTGAAATCCTTTTGCTTTGCATAGTAAGAGTAGGCTGATGGAATCAGTTGGGATTTGGTGAGTCAACTCCTCTATAAGTTCCAGTGATTCAAATGGGCCTGTTCTAGTGCACCTTACTCACTAAGTAACAGTATTTCAGCCACTATAAACATATTTTTCTATCTAGTCCTGAATGTCATTCTCTCCAAAATTTGATAAAATAGACTTAACTTTATAATTTGTTTTTCTAACAGGGATTTCACCATGTTGCAATATACTCACTATATCCTGAGAAATTCTTCCCCCCACCCCCAAACATTTACATAACTTTTCTGTTGCAGAGCCAGTTTCAATGTGATAACACCATTCTGTTAAATGGTTTTGTACTTAGGGCAACTATAGTGTCCTTTTGCTGTTCTTTATAATGGCATCTTATAGAGACAGTTCAAAAAACACACTCCCTAAGTCAGTGGTCCCCAACCTTTTCCAAACAGTTGACCGACTGGGGGGGGCAGGGTGCACACTCACACATGTGTGGGTGGGCAGGGTGCATGGTTGCACATGCTCAGGTGGGTGGGGTGTGCTCGCACGCATGGGCAGGGTACGCTTGTGGGTGGGCAAGGTATGCTCGCACAGATGCATGAGATCTGTCTCCACGGTCCGGTCCTACCAAGGCCAGGACCCGGTATCAGGTCGCAGACCAGAGGTTGGGGACTCCTGCCCTAAATAATATTAATCAGGGTTATATTCTGGTAGTTGCATTGCCTAAGAAGTCTATGTTTAATTAATGCATTGTTGCTCTTAATGATTTGTTTCTCAAACTGTGTTCACTTTAAACACTTCAGCCTAGGATCTGCAGGAGACTTGAAAGTTTGCTTTTTTGTTAGGTAAAGACTAAAATTGCTGTCTTTATGACACAAATTTCAGTGAACTCTCTTCACTTACCAAGAAGAAAGAATTCCCATCATAATGTTTCTTCGCTGATGTTATTATTAGGTTAGCACATGATGTGTGTTTAACTAAAACAGCTCTACCAATGCTTCTATCATAGGAACGACATTTCACTGAAATCCAGCCCTGTAGCACCTAATTCCAAATAAGGATGCATCAGATCATGGCCTATTAACAACTATCAAAATGGCAAAATCTCTCCACAGTGACAACTCAAATTATGTTGGCCACGCACATCTATCCTGCTATTTAAAAACCTAAGATTGTACCCCTGTGAAAATGGCACAGGGCCAGCAAGAAGAGTCCTCACGTGAAAAAACTAATCTCACTCTCCAATTCCAAACTAAAATGATCAGGAGGACAAATCGCTCTCCGTATCACTCTCGTCCAAGGATTCCAATTCCTCTTCACACACCACTGTAACACACTGGCGTATTTTCGTAGGAGCTATGTCTGATTAAGAAAACAGAAAAAGTATGCATACATTTATAGAGGTCAGGTTCTCTGCACACCATTATAAAAGTCAATTTACCATATTTTCCCATGAATACAACCACCTAACATGTAAGACAACCCCCAATTCTGAACCTTGCCAGAGGTGGAGGAACAATCAATGGGCAGGCGCGAGGGATGGCCCAATAAGGCTGTGCCTCCACCTCCTGCTGCTGCCGCCGCCACTCAGTCACCTCCTCCAGTGCCAGTGCTGGGGCTGACCTCCAGCTCATGTTGCCACGTTGTCCCCTGCCTGAAGTGGTGTTGGAGGAGGCAACCCAGTGCTCACAGTCAATGGGCAGCCACGAGAGGTAGAGGCAGTCACGCTTGGCCGCCTCTCGCGGCTGGCCATTGACTGCCGCCGCCACCGCTGGAATTGCCTCCTCCAGCGCCCCTTGTGGGCTCCCTTTGGGCAGGGGACAAGGTGGCAACGTGAGCTGGAGAAGGCGATTGGGTGGCTGTGGCAGCACCAGCAGGAGGCGGAGCAACCGCGCTGGGCTGTCCATTGACTGCTGTTGCCCACTTGCCTTCTTCAGCGCCAGTGCTGGGGTGCACCTCAACCTCACGTCACCACCTAGTCCCCTGCCCGAAGGGAGCCCGCGAGTGGTGCTGGAGGAGGTGATCTGGAGGCAGCAGCAGTCAATGGGCAGCTGTGAGAGGCGGACAAGCACGTCTGCCTCCGCCTCTTGTAGCTGCCCACTGACTGCTGCCACTGCTGCCAGATCGCCTCCTCCAGCGCCACTCACGGACTCCCTTCGGGCAGGGGACAAGGCGGCGGCGTGAGCTGGAGGTGAGCCCCAGCAGTGGCTCCTTTGCCTCCGCCTCCTTCTGGGTAGAAAACAACCCTCAATTTTTCCTCTAATGATTTTAGGAAAAATGTTGTTTTATACGCAGAAAATACATTACAGTACAACATTTTAGCTCATAAAGACACAGTACAGCATTGCATCAATGGCTCCTATTGAACTTAAGGAGACAAAGAGGCTGCAACCAGGGAAGTATCTGATAGGAGACCAAATGTCGTAACTGCTGGTTAGCTGGATGTCACCATCCCCAAGTGTACCTTTTAAAGTAAGAAGACAGCTGTCACCACTATTGAATACTCCTCAAGCCTAATGTGTTATCCTGCCTACTGGAGCAAGTGGGAGCAGCAATCCACCCAAGCCTATCCTCTTCCACTGTTGAAATTAACCTGGGGTGCCGTTCCTTTTGGCATCCTTCATAGGTCCTCCAGCAGATACAGAAGGACCGGCCTATCTGTGGGATTAGTATTTGCTGATTCACTTATCTGTTGCCTGAAAATACTAATGCCAACCCCTGAAATACGTACAGTATTTATATGTATTTCCAGAGTATATTTATCAGAACAGGCCACTAGAGGGAGCGAAAGATCATGCAATGAATTGTGTTCCATAGTTCCGCATTCTTTGTCATGGTGGTGGTGGTGGTGAGGCTTGAAACCAATCCCCAACAGATACTGTGGTCCTACTATACACAGCAGAAGCGTGTCTTGTCAGAATCAGCTTGGGCTTCTAATATCAATCCCTAACCATCAATACTAGAGGCCTATGAAAATTCTGTTGCTCCTACCCTCTAATATTCACTCTTTATTGAAAAAGAAACACCTATTGCTTTGAAGTAGGCAGAAGCAGTACAGTGCTCCCTCGCTTAGCGGGTGCCCCGTTTAACGAAGAATCCACATAGCGATGAAGATTTTTGGACAGGCGCGCCACCCTCCCGCACCACCCCTTGCGGCACCCCCACGGCAAAGCGCCGCTTTTAGAGGTGCAGTTTTACTGCTGAAATAGCCCCAGGAGGCTTCCGAAAGCGGCGCGAGGGGATGGGGGGTGGCGGACCTGTCCCTGCCATCCTCCCCACCCACCCCCACCCTGGCAAAGCGCCACTTTCCGAAGCCTCCTGGGGCTATTTCAGCAGTAAAACTGCACCTCTAAAAGCGGCGCTTTGCCGTGGGGGTGGCGTGAGGGGGAGTGCGGGAGGGGGTGGCAGGCCTGTCCCTGCCACCCACCCACTCACCCCCACCCTGGCAAAGCGCCACTTTCAGAGACTTCAGCAGTGCATTTACACTGCCTATTTAGCTGCTAGGCAAGCTTCTAAGAGCAGCAGCAGCTCCCGCCCATCAGCTGTAAGGCGGGGAGGGGGAGGGGCTGGAGCGGGGAAGATGGCTCCAGTTCTTTTCTGGAGGGATTCCTCGCTTACCGAGGCGGCGAAAATGGCCGCCCCTATGGAGGATCCTCGCTGAACGGTGAGTTTTTGCCCAATAGGAACGCATTAAACAGGGTTTAATGCGTTCTTATGGGTTTTTTTGTTCCGTTGAACGATGTTTCCACATAGCGACGTTACTCCTGGAACGGGGCACCACTGTACTTGGAATAGCTTCTCTCACAGAAGGAGATGGAACATAAAGACATTTGTAAAGCTATGCCTCTAAAGCAGCAGAGGGGAGGCGCTTAGTCCTTGACAACCTCCAGCCCCAAATACATTTATTTCTACTGCAGTTAAAACAGCTTACCAACAAAAATGGGACTTCTTTCTTCACAGTCTTCCAAGTAATCAAAATCAAAAGACACATGAGGATTCTGTTGATAAATATTTTAAATATTTCAGTACACAACATCAAAGTATTAAAAGAACTGGAAGCTACTCTTGAACTTAAAACTTACTTTGTGCTTCAGCAAACTGCACCACGGTCCTGTCTTCTCTTTTGCAAGGGTTATCACAGGCTCCTCGTTTTTAAGTATGCAAGCTGATTTTTCTTTGAGGATACTTCCTTGCAGCTCCATATCGGCCAAATAAAACTTCCCTTCTGCAGAAGCACTGAATAGATTTTCAGATATCAGTTTGTCGAAAGGAAACAGAGCCATAGTCTTTGCTTGAATTATAAAATGCTTCCTACCTGAAAACGACCCGTTGTTTAAAAAATTTGCAATCGTAACAAAAAACATTTTGCAATTTTATCTTCAAAACAACAACATCTTCCTTTTCAAACCATTTTATTGTTGGATGAAACCTGCAATTTTAAAAAAGCTGTTAAAACGGATGTGATTTTTAAGAGACATTTTTACATACTGTCATTAGTTTGGGATTAGTCAGCAAAATTTTTTGAGGGATCCTTCACACCTATCTCACAGCTTGCTCTTTCCAAAATATCTTGTGAGACTATGGATTCCCCAGAACATATGGCAAACAACAATTTATCTCTTGGGGATGCAGAGAACCCTGATTTTATACTCAGCTTCTGCATTCCTCTAAATAGAGCTCACATTAAATACTATAGGTCTCCCTTAACTTCCGTTTAAGGAACCACGATCCTGGGGAAATGCCTAACCTCTCCCTCCAATCTTTTCTTTTAATAACCTGTTTCCTCCTTAATACCTTCTCTAAACCTGCTTTCAAATTCCCTGGAAAATTCTGTAATTCTGTTACAGGACATAATGGGGAGATTGATGGAATAAATATTTTTCTATATCTATTCCATATTTGTATCATATTCTTAAGAAATCTTCTTTAAAATACTAATACTATTTTGTTTAAAGATAATATGTTCCAGGTCACTACCAGTTTCTTAAAACTCCAACTTTGATCATATTGGGTTGCATTAAAATATCCAGCATATATATGATTAGTTATATAATTTTAGATTAGGTAGGCCTAAGGTACCATCAGTGCTGTATGTGACACATACCAATGCTTTTTACTGAGCCTTTAAAAAAATCATAACTAAAAACCTAAACCTCCTAATTTTTTATTTTCATACCAATGCTTTTTACTGAGCCTTTTAAAAAATCATAATTAAAATTTTTTATTTGCTAATCTTTCAGTTTCTCCTCTGACTTTATTAGCATCACATATAAAAAATAATTTTAAATAATATCTTCATTTTATATGTTGCCATTCTTCCAAACTGTGATAGCCCTATCCTTCTTAACTCCTTTAACTTCTTACTTCAATTTATAAGTTTCCTTTTTTAAAAACATTTTTTTTCATGTTTATACCTAAATACTTTTACATATTTTTACATTAATTCCCCCCGATTTTCCCTTTTCTTTAACATGATTAAACAACATAATCTCTGACTTCTGCAAATTTATTTGTAGACCCGTCACCTCCTCAAATTCTTTCAAATGTAGTTTAACCTGGTCCATAGCCCTTGATGGATCCTCTATTGTTAATGATAATCTTAATAAAATAATCTTAATCTTATCTTTAATACCGATACCATTTATTAAATTATCCTGCCTAATAGCATCCACTAATATCTCTATTACTAGAGCAAATAACATTGGGGAAAGGGGACATCCCTGTCTAGTACCTCAGCCTAGGGATATCTGATCTGTTAATCCATCATCTACTAATACGATAGCAATGTTCTCTGGAATAGTTGATTTACCACATTTTAAAAACGGTTCTCAAATCCTGATGCATCTATCAGCATTTTTAATGCTGGCCATTCCACACAATTAAATGCTTTGAATACATCCAATGCCATGACTCCTGTTTTGTTTTTGCTTGTCAATATAGTAGCATGCATTATGTTTATTACTCTTCTAGTCAAATTTCCCATTTGTCTCCCTGAGATAAAGCCACTGTCATAGAATCATTGTAAAGTTGGAAGGGACCGTGGAGGTCATCTAGTCCAACCTCCTCCCCAAGGCAGGAGACCTCATGCCATCCCGGACAGATGGCTGTCCAATATTTTCTTGAAAACCTCCAGCAATGGGGCATCCACAACATCGGGAGGCAAGCTGTTCCACTGCTTCGTGGTTCTCACGTTCAGGAACTTCCTCCTTATTTCCAGGTTGGATCTCCCTCTGATGAGTTTCCACCCATTGGTTCTTGTCCTACCCTCAGGCACAATGGAGAATGAATCAATGGCCTCTTCCCTGTAGCAATTTTCAGATCTTGGAAGACTGCTAAAATGTCTCCCCTCAGTCTTCTTTTCATTAAATTATATATACCTAGTTCTTTTAGTTGTTCTTCATAGGATTTAGCCTCCAGTCTCATCATCTTTGTTGCTCTTCTCTGCACCCCTCAGCGTCTTTTTTGCATTGTGGTGACCAGAACTGGACACAGCACGTCCCAAGTGTGACCTCACCAGCGTGGTATAGAGTGGTACTATCACTTCTCGTGATCTTGATGCTGTCCCCCTGTTGATGCAGCCTAGGACTGTGTGGGCTTTCTTGGCAGCTGCCGCACACGGCTGACTCATCCTTAGGTGGTACCCCTCTCACAGGCACGACTATTGAGCCAGGTGCCACCTATCTTGTAACTGTACCACTTTGATCCTTTTTAATATATTTGCCAACAAAGTTGTTCATTATCTTTGTTAATAATGCTGACGATATCTTAGTATCTTGAATTATTAAAGAAACAGTCCTGTAAGCAATTGGGTCAGACATATCCTTATTATGCTTATGAACCAATATACAGTAATCAATTAATGCTTCCAAAAGTCTGGAATTTCTTCTCCTTCCATAATTTTATTAAATCGTGATCCTAACTTTGGTATCAACACCTTTTAAAATTTTGTTATAATATTCCGACTCCAATCCACCCAATCCTGGTGTCTTTCATCCTTAAATTATTAATAATATCTTCTATATCTCCTTCGCTAACTGCTCCATGAAATCTCTATCAATCTCTTGAAGCTTATTTCTCATATTTTTCCCTATATATGTTCTAATCTTCTTGATAGTTTGGCACTTTTATAAAGATTATTAAAAATTTACGAAATACTTCCAATTTTTGCTTCATTAAATTGCTCTTTTTACCATTTTCATCTTTAATCATTCCAATTACACTCTTAGCATTTTTGCTTGTGTGGCTCTGGCTAGCATTCTAGAATTTTCATGACTAACTTCAAAACATTCTCTTTTCATATATATTTAATTCTTCTGAACTTTTTCCATTCCTATATCCTGTAGTTCCTTTTTCTTGGCTTGCATTTCTGATAAAACTTTTATATCTCTATTTGTTGTATAATTCATCTCTAACACTCTTATTTCATCCTCCAATTTTTTCATTTGTTTTTCCTTTTTCCTTCTTAAATTGCCAGATTCTTTAATACTCAACCCCCTTACTCCAAGTGTACCAAACTAGACTTTCCCTACTACCTCATTTATCATAAATGCTCCATATTTCTATCAGTTCTTTCTCCAATGTATGTTTTCTCTACTGCATGTTTATGTTGTAAAATACTTATATAAGAACTCCATCTTTTACCTTCTTTATGATCATATATAACTTTAAAATCCATATTCACTAAACCGTGATGTTACTTTTATTAACCCTACATTACTTTTACAAACTCTAAACAAATCACTAGATACAAATATATAATCTATCCTAGAATAACTTTGATACACGAATAAAAAGCACATGTCTTTTCATCTCCTTTCAAATTCTCTCCAAACATCTTTCTAATCAGTTTTACTGACTAGTAAAGCACAATCTTCTCCTCTCATTTGCCCTTGTAGTATCGGAAATACTTCTTTATCATCTTTCTTTAACTAATTCAACTTACATTAGAAATATTAGTTGCCACACTTCTTGAACTTGAGTTCCCATGATTTTTCATAATTTTTAGTCCAAGATAATTTTAGCTCAACTACTCCTTCCTTTTTATGCATTTCTTGTAGAAAAACAGTATCTGTTTTATCTTTATTTATCAAAACTTAAATTCTTTTCCTCTTTAAACCATTCCCCAAGCTTTGAAGATTCAAGGTTAGTACTCTTACATTTTTAACCATTCCAATTTAATCTCATATTTTCATTTGGTGAAATGAAATACTATGATGTGCTACTGTGACAAAACAATACCCAATAAAGACAAATACCCAAACTGTTACTAATTCCCTAGCTCTATGCCTACCCCATAACTCCCCACCCCACATTTAATTTTATTATTCCCTTTTCCTGCCAAAGTGTAACACCCCTGACCATCATTTGTTGACATATGCGGGGGGGGGGGAGGATAATCCACTATCCCAACCAACCAACCACAATTTTCCATGCCTCAACTCGGTATACAGTACTTTGCACTCCTACTTAGTAATTCATAAAGTCTATTGAGAAATAAACATTTTTTTAAAAAACTAATATTATCACTATATCAATCTTATATTTCCCGTTGGCTTGAGTCAAACCTTAGATCCTACATTAACCCGTTCTACTCTTTCTTCTTCTCTCTCCTATGCCTGTACGTTTCTTCTTCTTCTTGACTACTTGTTCCCTTAAAACTTCCTCCAGCACTCTGGTGGTGTCTTCTATTAACATTCCACCCACAGCTGTCTCCTGTTCCTCATCCTTCTCTTCTTCCCCTTGTTCTGAACTAGTCGCTGAATCTTCCTTTCCATCTGCCTTTATGGCTTCTTGCTGTGATTGGTTATCTTCCAACACGCCCCACTGATGCAACATCTCCACACCTTGCTCCACTGAAGTTATTATATGTTTCTCTTTGTAAATTATTCTCATATAAACTGTGTAACCCCATTTATATTTTATTCTATTCTTGATGAGCACTATTTTCAAAGGATACATTTGATATCTCCAGCTTACAGTTTCAGAGCAAAGATCTCGATAGATTTGAATAGATGCCTCTTTGTACTTTAGTTGCCCATGCTTTACTCTCATTGCCTTCAAAAACATTAATTTTCTCTAATAATTCGCAAATCTCACCATATCTCCTGGGAACATCCCAGATCTGCACTTGGACGCTGTGTGATGCACTCTTGCTGTCCTGTTGCTGCCATTGTTCTCCTGGAGCTATTCATTGCATTCAGCAATTCCGGTACTTCATTCCGAAGGTTCCTCTCTGGTGTGCCTATGTTTGTTCCCTCGGGAAATGCAGAGATCTTCACATTATTTCTCTGATTTATAACTTGAAGATCAATAATTTTTTTGTCAATTTGATCCAATATATCTTTTTGCTGATGAATCAGTGTTGCATTTGCTTTCACCAGTTTTTCAGTCTTTTGAATTCTTAGATCCAATGCTTTTATATCTTTAAGG